ACGCCACGCCACGCCATGCTGCTGCTGCTCCTCGCCTGCTGCCGCTCCATGCCACGCCACGCCACGCAGCTGATGGCTGTGCCTCGCCTGCCACTGCTTCACGCCACACGCCACCGCTCCACGCCATGCCGCTAGTCGCCGCTCCTTGCCTGCTGCCACTCTACTGGCTGCAGTAGGTCTGGCTCTCAGCCAAACCAGTGATTTCAGCTCAGTGATTTCAACTCTCAGCCAAACCAGTGATTTCAGCTCAGTGATTTCAACTCTCAGCCAAACCAGTGATTTCAGCTCAGTGATTTCAACTCTCAGCCAAACCAGTGATTTCAGCTCAGTGATTTCAACTCTCAGCCAAACCAGTGATTTCAGCTCTCAACTGAATCCAGCTTTCACTGGACTAGCAAACAAAAAGACTCCTCAGGGAGTCTGCTTTAGGTCTGTCCTTAAAACAAAGGGGGAAAGGTGCAGGCTGGGCCAGTCTTATAGCTCACACCTGACAGGTGCGACCCAGGCTGACTCAAACCCTTTAACCCTTTCCCCCAGCTCTGTCCACTCAACTGTGGAAGGGGGGAGGCTTGTTCTTCCGAGACCTCTTGCCATGATGGTGGTGTCTCTCCTGCAAGCACTGGTGGCATGTTTTACAGTTCCCACGTTTCGGGGTAGCATGATTAGTGACCCCCACAACAGTCCCAAATTATTTACAATTCTCCACATTCCATTCCAACACTGACCTTCCATCAGCCCTGGCTGAATGGGATTTCCATAGCCACACCTCGGATTCTCTCCTGAGCTGTATTTACATGTCAACAGTTAACAGTTAATTACCTTGTAGAGCTAAACAACTGTAGTGGGCACACCCACCCCTCCTTTCAGCTGGCTGACAGCAAGCAGCAGTTCAGCCCCTGCTAACAGAAGTACAGTTGGCGAGTCCAATTTATAGAGGAGACTGGACGTGACGCACCCACCGTCTAACTCGTATGAGGCCCTGCAACAAGACTTCAAAATCCAAATATCTCCATGCAAGGAGGCACGATTTCACGCTTTGGCCAGAATATTTCCCCGCGTTGGCTGAAAATAATAAAGACATTGCCTAGTTTGGGGGTATTTAGGGGGGTTTGTGCAGTTTTCTATGGAAAGACGAGTGAAAAGAGTTGTGGAAAAAAAATGTGGTTGAACATCTTATTCCACGAGGAATAAGGGATGTCTCGAAACTTTGCGTTATTTTGAAATTTGGCACCGTGTAGATGTGCCAGATTTCAAAATAGCATAGTGCCAATTGCATATCGTATTTCAATTTTAGAGTGCAGTGAAGCGATACCCTCTAGAGCTGTGGTTCTCAACTGGTGGTCCATGGTGACTTTTTCGGTGGTCCACAGGAACATTGTCCAAAGTCACACGGCGTGGGCAGGCACCAAAAATCTGTTAGTAAGAAATAAATTTCAAACCAAAATGTTTGTTGTCTGCTCTTTTTTATCATGTCTCAAAAAGGAGGTGGCCCACTACAATTTTTTGATTGGCCTGGTGGTCCATGGACTGAAACGAGGTGGGAACCACTGCTCTAGAGTGACCCAATACAAAGATAGCTCCAGAGTCTCCAGAGCCTGACCCAACTTCTCGAGCTGCTAGGCCAACTTTCTAATCCTAAAGAGGTGGAGTTATATGCCTGTCCCTGCCTCATCGCTTGGGGTCGGACCTGACGACTTCTTGAGGGCCCCTCCAGGCCTGCGTTGCTATGAGTCCATGCCTCTCCAATGGGCCAAGGAGCAGTTCTTCTCCAAGGTTTTCCGCAGGACCTCCTTCACTTCCTTGTTCCTCAGGCAATAGATCAGGGGGTTCAGGGCTGGGGTGACCACGGCGTAAAAGATGGAGACCACCTTGTTGAGGTTGGCGGGGTCGATCTTCCGGGGCCGGGCGTACATGAAGAGGGTGGCTGAGAAGAAGATGATGACCACGGTGAGGTGGGAGGCGCACGTGGAGAAAGCCTTCCTCCTGCCCTGGGCGGTGGGGATGCGCACGATGGCGCCGATGATGCACAGGTAGGACAAGACCGTCACAGCTAGTGGCAGCAGTAGGATGACCAATGCCAGGGCAAAGTCCACCATCTCTGCCACCGACATGTCAGTGCAGGCCAGGTTGAGCACCGGGGAGATGTCACAAAAGAAGTGGTTGATGACCCCGGGGCCGCAAAACGTCAGCTGCGAGATGAAATATATCTTGACTAGGGAGATGGAGAAGCCACCGGCCCAGGAGAATGCTGCCAGCTGTAGGCAGAGCTGGTGGGTCATGATGGCCGGGTAGCGCAGCGGGTGGCAGATGGCCAAGTAACGGTCATAAGCCATAACGGCCAGGAGGACGCACTCGGTGCACATGAGGGAGATGAAGAAGTAGAGCTGAGCCATGCAGTTGGGGAAGGAGATGCCCTTGTTCTCAGACCAGAAGTCCACCAGCAGCCTGGGCAGGGTGACGGAGATGTACCAGATCTCCAGGAAGGACAGGGACCCCAGGAAGAGGTACATGGGCTTGTGCAGCTGGCGGTTCTGTTTCACCACCAGGATGATGACCACGTTCTCGGTGACCGTCAGCACGTAGGTGAGCAAAAACACCAGGAAGAGCACAGCCTGGACTTCCAGCTGGGTGGGGAAACCCAGGAGGATGAATTCCCGGAGGCCGGTTTGGTTCTCCATCCTGGCGTCCAGCTTGATAACTGCAGATGTGAAAGGAAGAGAAAAAGCAAGTCAGTGAGTATGTGCCTTTGGGTAACGGGTCAAGCACACAGAGCCGTCCAGCGGGCTAAGTAATTTACAAGAGTCACAGCCAAAGAATGCCAAGACGAAAAAACAGATCATTCTAAAACAGTCAAAGGGAAAATGAAACATGTTTGGAGTCAACCCCAAATGATTTTTCCCCACTTTTTGGGACAGCAAATACCCTGGCAAATCCATTATTCTCATAGCTGTTGCCCAGAGAGCTTAAATGATCTTTCAAAACCTTCTTGAAAATCACTTTGAATCAAAAGAAAAAGAAATCACCACAATATTCACTATTATGGAAAGATTGGGATTTGAAGAAAATGAAAAAAAAATGTTAAAAACTGTCAAATGTTTTGCGTAGACAAAGAGCAGCTGTGAGAATAATGGATCTGGGTGGTCCAAAAATTTGGAGTTGACCCCAACCGCATTTAAAAAAAATTCAAGAAATCAAAAAAGGGGAAAAAAAGTGTCAAACAAATGAATCATTTCACATTTTACACAGCCCTGGCTGGGGTGGTTGAGTTGGGGTTGGTCCTGCTTTGGGCAGGGGGCTGGACTGTCTGCCTCCTGAGGGCTCTACCAGGCCTGGGATATTTATTAATTATTAATTATTATTATTAGTAGTAGTAGTAATAATAAAACCCTAAGAAAGGGTTAGGGATGACGCTACAAACATTAGCTTAGAAGAGCAAATTTATTCACATTATGGGTGTTTTCCCACGATAGATAGATAGATAGATAGATAGATAGATAGATAGATAGATAGATAGAGGGGGGTGTGGGGATAGATAGATAGATAGATAGATAGATAGATAGATAGATAGATAGATAGATAGATAGATAGATAGATAGATAGATAGATAGATAGATAGATAGATAGATAGATAGATAGATAGATAGATAGATAGATAGATAGATAGATAGATAGATAGATAGATAGATAGATAGATAGATAGATAGATAGATAGATAGATAGATAGATAGAGGGGGGTGTGGGGATAGATAGATAGATAGATAGATAGATAGATAGATAGATAGATAGATAGATAGATAGATAGATAGATAGATAGATAGATAGATAGATAGATAGATAGATAGATAGATAGATAGATAGATAGATAGATAGATAGATAGATAGATAGATAGATAGATAGATAGATAGATAGATAGATAGATAGATAGATAGATAGATAGATAGAGGGGGGTGTGGGGATAGATAGATAGATAGATAGATAGATAGATAGATAGATAGATAGATAGATAGATAGATAGATAGATAGATAGATAGATAGATAGATAGATAGATAGATAGATAGATAGATAGATAGATAGATAGATAGATAGATAGATAGATAGATAGATAGATAGATAGATAGATAGATAGATAGATAGATAGATAGATAGATAGATAGAGGGGGGTGTGGGGATAGATAGATAGATAGATAGATAGAGTGTATGGGGCAGGGGGAGAGACAAAATCACAGAATCCCAGAACACTAGAATTGGAAGGGACCTTGCAAGTTCATTGAGTCCAGTCCCCTGCCCCCATGGCAGGACCCAGCACTGTTTAGATCATCCCCGACAGGCGTCTGTCCAACCTGCTCTTCAATATCCCCAGCGATGGGGATTCCACAACCCCCCTGGGCAATTCATTCCAGTGTTTCACCACCCGGACAGGCAGGAAGTGTTTCCTAATGTCCAACCTCAACCTCCCTTGCTGAAGTTTCAGCCCGTTGCTTCTTCTCCTGTCCTCAGAGGCCAAGGGGAACAATTTTTCTCCCTCTTCCCTATGACACCCTTTTAGATACCTGAAAACCGCTCTCATGTCCCCTCTCTGTCTTCTCCTTTTCAAACTAAACAAACCCAATTCTTTAAATCTTCCCTCATAACGCATGTTCTTGAGACCTTTCATCATTTTGCTGCTCTTCTCTGATAGCCAGGTGTTCTACCCTCCTTTACGTATTATGAAGTGTCCTTAAAATTTGCACTCACCTTGCACTGCTACAAAAGGCGCCTGAATTGGGTGCTGAGAAGGGGCAAATACGTAGTATAACTTGCAAACGTCTTCAGCTTTCAGGCAGTGAGTCCAGTCTCCTCCCCTCTCTCTGTCCATCTGTCTGTCTTAAAGACACTTCTGCCTCCTTGTCTAATTAGAATGTCCCACCCGCTGCCGCCACGATACCCCGGTGTTAGAAAAACGATCAAACCAGCCAGAAGCTCCGTCAATAGTTCATCCGAGTTTCATGAGTCCCAACCTCTGCTCTTCCGGTCAGAACATGTCATGGAGAGTCCAACAGGGATGCGTGTGGGGGGCTTCCTCAAACCGACTGCAGAAGGGTGCTCCAATTTCTGGGGCTTGTGGTTGAGAATTTCTTCCCCTAGCTCCTGGCGTATACCCCAGAGGTGCAATACTAACTATTTTGGTGTTGCTGGGATGAGCAGAACCCTGCAAACATACATGCGGCCCTCCGGATGGCTGGTGTTTCCATTCTTCTTACCGCTGGATCATCTGTTTTCCTACAGTAGACCTGCCAGTAGCCTTCACACCCTTGCAAAAAATCAGAGGTTGTGTCCATGCCCCAAACATCACCTCCCTGCTCCCGGGGAAAGTTTCTCATTCAACAGTCATGCCAGGGATGTTCCTTCAGTGCGTATTTGCCTGGGGTTGTGTCTCTGTCCAAAGCTACAATCCTGGATTTAAATACCATTAGGTCGTCCTTAAAGCCTGATGGGTATTTTCCCCAGATGTTAATTAATGGGTCTAAATTGCTTGGGTAGGAGAGGGAATTCAGAAGCAGCCTCAATGGGACAGTCGTCCTTAAGGGAACTTATTAACAATAAGTCAAAGCTGGACATCCATAGGTCGGGCGCAAGTGAGAAACTAAGAACATAAGAACATAAGAATGGCCGTACTGAGTCAGACCAAAGGTCCATCTAGCCCAGTATCCTGTCTGCCGACAGTGGCCAGCACCAGGTGCCCCGGAGGGGGTGGACCAAGACAATGATCAAGCGATTTGTTTCCTGCCATCCCTCTCCAGCCTCTGACAAACAGAGGCCAGGGACACCATTTCTACCCCCTGGCTAATAGCCTTTTATGGACCTAACCTCCATAAATTTATTTAGCTTCTCTTTAAACTTTGTTATAGTCCTAACCTTCACAGCCTCCTCTGGCAAGGAGTTCCACAGGTTGACTACACGCTGTGTGAAGAAGAACTTTCACTTATTAGTTTTAAACCTGCTACCCATTAATTGCATTTGGTGTCCTCTAGTCCTTCTATTATGGGAACTAATGAATAACTTTTCTTTATTCACCCTCTCCACACCACTCATGATTTTATAGACCTCTATCATATCCCCCTCAGTCTCCCATTTTCCAAACTGAAAAGTCCCAGTTGCTTTAGCCTCTCTTCATATGGGACCCGTTCCAAACCCCTGATCATTTTAGTTGCCCTTTTCTGAACCCTTTCCCAGGCAAAAATGTCTTTTTGGAGGTGAGGAGACCACATCTGTACACAGTACAGCCTGGCTTATGAAAGAGCTCAGATTAAGGTGGGGGGGAGGGGGGTATGACAGACCACCAGGCCCCTGATCAAGTGGGGGCAAGTTCTACATTCCCTGCAAGGGGCGGGGCCTCAGGTGGAAGAGGCGAGCTTCCTCCAGGAAGCCCTCAGCCTCTGCTGGAGCATGCCATGCTGGGCTCTGGCAGTGATTTAAAAGGGCCTATGGTTCCGGCTGCTGCTACCACCATGGTAGAGCCCCCTTTGCATGCCCCTGTCAGACTAGACCAATGTTTCCCAACCTTTTTTAATAAAGCACCCCTAAACAAATTCTAAGTACCCCCAGGACCTACAGTTTTCAGATGCACATTTTTATTTTCTACTGTTGCAACACATTTGTTTAAACAACGTCATCGTAGACAGGTGGGCAATGAAATTTCTCAGTGTAAAAAGGACAAAACTAATCAAGCGCTGTAAAACGTAAAACAAAAATTCCGTTTTCTCCCAATTTCAGTTGTGTTGACGTACCCCCCAGACGTCTCTCGAGTACCTCTAAGGGGACTGGTACCACTGGTTAAAAAACACTGGCCTAGCCGATGTAATGGTAGAACTGGTTGGAATTTTTTTTATTGAAACGTCTTTGTTTCAAGTGGGCTTCCCACAAAAGGCAGCACTTTGCGGGCCTTTCTGTTTTCCTCGACAAAAAGAAACACACATCTTTTTCATCCGAAAGCTGAAAACTAGGTTTGCATTTTTAATTGGGGCATTTTCATTAAAAAACTCCAAATGACAACAATCTGAAAGAAAATCATTTTCCGTGAAATGCTGATAATACAGGTAGCACCTCTCTAATCCAGAACACTCTGGTCTAGAAACATCCGTCATCCAGAATGATTTTGGGATTGGTTCGGCCTTGGGCCATGGGCTGGACTTGATGACCTCCTGAGGTCTCTTCTAGCTCTATGAGTCTATTATTTTAGTTGGCCAGATGTCCACTTAGCATGGGTGTGGCCAAACTTCCTGCGACCCCATAAAGTTTGTTTACAGCCCCCAGGTCTGGCTCTCAGTGTTCTGTGCTGTTAGTTACCTCTAATTTACCCCTCAATGTTTTCTCAGAGCCCAGGAAGCAGTGGAAGCGTTGGTCATGCTGCTAGACAATATTGACCTTCTGTGGTCTGGCAATTTCTCTGGTTCAGCACCAGTCAAGACCCAAGAGTGCCGGATTAGAGAGGTTGAACTTGTATAATGCTCATTTTCTAGAAAGTGCTACACAATGGTCCGACTTGGCCTCACCATCTATGAATCTCAATGTTGGGGAACCAGCAACTGAGATAAGACTGTTCACGTGTTAGGTTGAATCTGAAGACTTGATCCAGAAGGATGGCTCTGACGGGGTGGCCCAGAACGAGCAGCAGAATATCTCTGAGGTACTTTTTG